GGCGCCCCGCACCCCGTGCATCGAGTCGTTGAGAACGGTCTGAAGGTAGCGCTGCTGTCGCGGGCGTACGACCTCTTGATAATAGCCTGTGGGGGACTCGAGGTCGAAGACGTTAGGGAAGACGAGCGCTGGGCGTCCGTCCGGCCTGGGAGCGAAGGCCACCATCTTGAGATCCTCCTTTCTGGGGTTGTCCGTCTGCAGCATGCGCAGGAGGCCTCGCTTCTTGTCTCGGAGCCTCTCGCACCAGGTCGCCCACAGCTCTTCCCACAACTCGTAGACAAACTTGGGCGGGAAGGCGTGGTCGTCCTTCTCACACTCCCGTGCGAGAGTCTCCAGGCAGTCCAGACGCTCCTTGACGTGCTCCCGCCCGAAGACAAGCCCGAAGAACCTGGTCATGTTCTGGGCCTGCCGCTTCCACTGGTCGAAGACCACGGGGGCCCTGGGCCGGGGCTCCAGCTTGGTGTCGTGTGGCGCGCTGTACCTGTCGAACGCGATCGTCTTGCAGGTCGGGAAGTCCGCCACAGACGCCGACCACGGAGCCAGGTTGTCCAGGCTGCTACCGCCGAAGCTTAGCGAGGCGCATGCCATTGCGATCCGGTTGGACACCGTGGTGGGCGTCTCGACGGCGAGCATGAGGGCTTTGTTCTGCTCGCAGGTCCGGCGCAGAGCGTAGAACAGCTCGCGTCCGAGGACTTCGTCGCAGACCTCCACGGTCAGCTGGCCGCAGCCGCGCGCCAGGTAGACGTCCAGCTCCTCGGCTCGTCCCAGCGCCGCCACTGTCCCACGCGGGGCTGCCTTGTCGCCCTGCCGGGCGTTGGCAACCCCTTCCAACGCGTGGAGCATCCTGGCGGTGTTCGCGTCCAGCGCTGCCCCGGGCTGCACGAGGCCGAATGGGTCGGCACTTCCACTGTCCTCTCGGGCCCCAGCAGCGTAGCGTGCCGGTGCTGTGGTCAAACCTGGAGGCAGGCCCAAGTCACTGACGTGCTGGTCGTAGCAAAACAGGGACCTGATGTTCGGCGCCTGGGGGCGGACGACCGGGCCCAACCCAGCCGTGGTAGCTGGGAGGCCGGCGTCCCGTTGTCCGACGGGGAAGGCCGGCAGGACGACCGCTGGCGAGAGTGATGGGTGTGCTTCAAGCTGGGGCGCGCTGTCGGCCGTGGGGGCCGGCGGCCCCTGTGAGCGGTGGTGCTCGGGTGAGAGCTTGAGGAGCTCTCGGAGGCTGTTAGGCGATGCCTCGGGGGTCTGCGGTCGCGAGGGCACCTGCTGGAGCACCTCCCAGCTGCCAATGTGCCCATCCAGCCGTGCGAGCTCCTCAGGCTCATTCGTCTGCTGCTTGAGGTATCGGGCATGTCGGATGAGGCCGGCGAGCACCTGCTGGGCTTCCTCCCCGAAGCCAGCAGCCACGCTCTGCACAGCGGCCGCATCGCTTGACCCACGGGCCTTCTCCTCCAAGTAGCAGGCCATCATGACTCCTCCCTCATCTCCCTGATGACTATCTCCTGACGCGGGCGCCTCAGAGCTGGCTGCTCGCCCGCCCTCGGCTGACGGCGAACGAGAGTTCCTTCTTGTTGACCCCGAGGGCGGCCGGGGCGAACTGCTGCGATCGAGCCGCCGCCAATGGCTGCGCAGCTTGGCGTCCGCCTCGGTGGCCTGCGCCTCGAAGCTCGGACTGGGTGCCACGCCCCCCTCAGGGTGCCACTTGACTAGGTCGACCACCTTCTCCTTGAGCAGCCGCCAGCGTGCCTCGCTGAGTGGGCCAGCTCGGCCACCCACGGGCAGACCATGCCAAGCTGCCAGCTTGTGCCAAACCTTCTCGGGTACGTTGGTCGCCGAGACGCCGATGCCGAGCTCCTCGCATCCCAGGGGTGCGTGGTGGAGCAGCTCCTCGATGAACCCTGCGGGTAGGCGTCCGGAGGGTCCTGGAGACGGCGCACGGATGACGCCGTCGGGCTTTACGAGGAAGCGGATGGTGACGCCTGCTGGGTCTGCCACCTCGAGCGCCAGCGCACCGTCGAAGTAGTCGGCCGCCGTGCTGGCCGCGACGGCATCGACTGCTTTCCCTCTGAAAATCATCCACTGCGCCCCCTCGGGCCAATGCACCCTCGCCCGTAGAATGAAATGTTGTCCAAGGGGCATAGGCGGCTGCGTTGGCGGCGGGGGGCAGCCCGGAACCGGCGGCGCTTCGAAGCGCGCGCTCGGTGGTCCAGCCGGCGACGGGACGGGGTCGCCAGGGCTGGAAGGCGCCTCTCGCGCGGAGGGCGGGGGTGCGGTGCGCTCAGGAGTGCGGCTCCTGGCTGGGGCGGCAGCTGCCCGCTCTGGTGTGCGGCTCCGTGCTGCAGGGCTCCGCCGAGCTCGACGCCGTAGTCCTGCGAAGAACCCGACTCCTGCTGGGTTGTCGTGTATTGCACGGGCTGCGTCACCCCCAAGGTGTTGCAGACAGAGAGGAACCCCTGAGGCCATGCCCACCGCTTCCCGGAAGCAGGTCACCTGAGAGCACTTCTCGCCGTAGCGCAGGACCATGTAGATCTGCCGGTGGTGCTCGCAGAGGCAGGCCGTTGCGCTCCCCTCACTCGGGAGAGGGAGGTCCGAAGCCCGCCCGTCCTCCACCAGCAGCACAGTAGGGTCCCCTCGTGCCGCATCTCGACAACCCTCGGGAGCCAGTGGGCGCATCTTACCCTTGATCATGAGCCCCACTTTCACCGCCTCGCAAGGGTTGTCCTCGGCATCTACCTCGGACTCGGACTCCTGGTCAAGTAGTCTTGCCACTGACCCCTGCACGCCAGGCTCCGCATCGCCAGACTTAGGACGGCGGCGGCGCCGGCGGCAGAGGCATGCCCCACAACATGAGCACCACGAGAGGATGTACAATAGCAACTTGTAGACGAGACCCGTCCCCCTCCAGAGCCAGACGAAGATCCGGCAGGGTGTGAACCTCGAATAGTCGCCGAGGTCTACGATGGCCTCGTTGTCGAGGGCCGCGTACTCCTTGCAATGCAGCTCGTTCTCGCGCCCCTTGCACCCAGTACAGCTCGAAGAGCGGCACAGGTGAAGCCAGCGAGGATCCCGTTGCTCCAGCTCGCGCCGGAAGCTCTTGTCGCTAGCGCCCTTCACGGAATCGTATTCCACCCACAATCCTTGGCGGTTGATACGTTCAGGAGACTTCATATTGAGCTTGAGCCGGGCAACCCTGTAGTCCACCCGGATCAAGAGGTCGTTCTGGCCGCGCTTGGAGCCCCGGCCTTCCTTGATGCTCTTCCGATACCAGTCAGTCGTCGGGTCCGCCCCGGTAGTCGGCCCATGCCACACCACGTCGGTGAGCGGCGGGGCCGCCGGCGGAACCAGCTTGTCGAGCTTGACTTCGCCAGGCGTGCGGCGCCTCGGGCAAGGGCAGCATGCCAGCACCAAGCCGCAAGTCCAAGCCGCCCAGCTGCAGGGCGCGAAGAGCGTCCTCAGGCTGTGGGCCAAGAGCGCGACCGTCCCGGTGCCGGCGAAGACCGCCACGAGCCCGGCGATCAGCGGCCAGGCGGAGCCGAACAGGGTGAGGCCCATCTGGTCCGTCATGTAGAGCACCCAGCCACCTTCTGAGCTAAGCCAACCTCCTGCCTCGCGAGTCGAAAAGGCAGACCTGAAACTCCCCACGGCTCTGAAGGTACCCCCACCCATCCCCTCGGCAAACCAGTAGGTGCGGTTGCCGATGTCCTTCCAGCTGATACCGAAAAGACCCCAACCTCTGATCCAGGACGATGGATCCCCGTCGGGAGGGTCAGGGGGTGGGTGGGTCGGGTCCTGGGGAGGGGGCCCAGCCGGCGGCGCGGAGCGCTCGCGCGGCGGTCCCCCTCCGCTGCTTCCTGCAGGTGCAGCGCGCCCGCCGGTAGTGGAGACCCTGTCCGGCGGCGCGCCCGCGTGCATCGAGGGGTCCACGGGCGCATCGAGCCAGAACTCCCTCATGTCCACGTTGTCGTCGTAGTACGCGGACTCGGCCTCGGCGTCGGCCTCGGCGATCCCGACGGTCATCGCGAAGATCAGCATCAGGGCTGCCACGCGCCCACGGCGCCGGCCGACCGGCGGCGGCGTCTGGGCCTTGGGGCAGCTCCTCCGGGCGGGCTCCAGCGCGCACGCGCCACTCGCGGCTCCCGCCTGGCACTGCGCCAGCGCCGGCGCGGGCTCGCGCCTGGCTACTGGTTCGTCGGGGGGGCTCAGCGGCCCCGCCTCGACGGATGCCACCTCGCCCCTGGGTGCTCCGCGGCTGGCGTGAGCCGGCGCCGCTCGGCGCCCAGGCCCCCCACCGCTGCGCAGCTGCGCGCCCGCGGGCGGCGACGCTGCCGCCCACCAGCCGCGCGGCGCCAGGCGCGGCATCGTGCGGCCGCGGGCGCCCCTGCCAGGCCTGGACCCAGGCCTGGGAGTCTTCTGGCCCCTCCGGGGCCCGGCCTTAGGCCAACTGAGGCCGACCCCCAGCTTGGCCTTGGAAAGGCTTGAGCCGCGGAGCGGCGGTGAAGAGAGAGGGAGAGAGAAAGGGCAAGCAAGAGGCAAGGGCAGGAGCAAGGGAACCGCAAGTGGAAGCCCGCGCCAGTTCTGGGGACGGGGAGATCCATCAGTTTTACCAAACATCCTATCGCCCAGCGTGGAGCCCCGCGCCCCTCGGCGCGCCGCCTGCGCCCGGGCCGCTGCTGGCGCCCCCGGCTCCGCCAGTGCAGCCACTGGCTGGGCCTGCGCTCTGGGGTGGTAGGCCCCCTGCGCCTCTAGCAGCAGCGGCGTCATCGGAAAGCGTCGAGGCCCCCGTCGAGGGCGCGCGGCTCGCTGTTCCGCCGACGGCCAACGCCGCGCTGGCGGCAATCGCCGAGGCGATGCCAGCCCATGGGGCCGACGCCGCCGAGGGCGGCGAGTCGGCGATCCCACCGATCGCTCCCCGCGCTTTCTCGGAGGTCGCGGCGGCCTCTGGGAGCTCCCGCGAGAGCGTGGCCGCCCCCAGCAGCTCGGGCTCCCCATGGGGAACGTGGGGCATGAGCGACCGCGACCAGAAGTCGGCCCTGCACAGAGTCATGGAAGACGAGCTCAACACAGTGCTCAAGCGCAAGAAGATCGAGGAGAAGACGACGCCGCACAAGCACGGGGGCCCCGACGCGGGTTCCCCCCTGCAGGACGTCGGTGCGGCCGCGGCCGACGACGCGGACATGGCCTCCCAGGACTCAGACGACCAGCCGCTAGTGGGCGCGGCCGGCAAGAAACCATCGGCAGCGACGCCGATGGAGCTCGACAAGGGGCAGAAGCGCTCGGAGGCATCCGAGCCAGTTGATTCGAAGATCGGCGCCATGAAGAGGCCTGCTGCGGCGAAGGCCGTGGGCGACCCCGTCATGGGGAGGCCTGCTGCGGCGAAGCCTCAAGAGGCCGAGAACCCCCCGGAGGTCGAGTCAGCGAAGGGCGAAGCGGCGAATACCCCCTCGAAGAAGCCGGCTTCTGGGGCGCTGGTCCAGACGTCGAAACCCAAAGCGGCCACCTCTGCCGCGCGGGGCGGGGGCAAGGCAGCAGCCCTGAAGCGGCCTGCAGCGACGCCATCACCAGCCCCAAAGCGCAGCCGCTCCAGCGAGGGGCTCGGCGCTAGCAGCTCGGACGACGTCGACGTCGCCGACCTGGGCTTGAAGCGTCCAGAGCTTCAGTGGCCAGGGGTGCCGACAGCGCACCGCCCTGTGTTCCAGTTCAACGGTTGAAACGCGTGGACCGACCTCAAGGGGAAGAAGTGGAGGGCCCGGGCCATCGAGTGGGAGAACCCTTCGGACTTCGGGTACGGCTTCGGCCAGAAGGGCCCCGCGCTGGCGAAGAAAGCTTGGGGCAGGCTCGTGAGCAAGGTATGCTCGGCGCCCTAGAATGTAATCCCAGGGATTACACGTGGCTGGAGTCTGACAGCTCCATGCCTCCAGGAGGCCGTGCTCTCGAGCTGCGAAGCATTGACGGCTCGCGCCGCAATGAGGGGACCTGAAAACAACGCGCCGCAGACGCAGGCTAGGAGGAGGAGGAGGAGAAGGAGGAGGAGGGGGAGGAGGAGGAGAAGGAGGAGGAGGAGGAGGAGGATGGACGCGGGACCAGGTGGGACCAGGGGGGGCCAGGGCTCCTCCCCCTCCTCCTCCTCCTCCTTTCCTCCTCCTCCTCCTCATATCATTACATGCGTGCAAATACCATCATGTTCATGGTGCGTAACGTCAGTAGCATCATCATCATCATCATCATCATCGAGTCGCCATGCATGCGAGGTGGCTTGCCACTCCGCCATTCCCTTCCGCCGCCCCCACTGCATCTAAACTCGCGCGGCGGGGAGTTGGCTCGCCACCCCGGCCGAACCTTTCGTGCAAGAGGGGGCGGCGGAATTGCGAAAACAAGAAGCGGCGAGCCGACTATATGCGCGTGAGACAGCAACGGGGCGGCGGAATTGCGAAAACATCAAGCGGCGAGCCGACTATGCGTGAGACAGCAACGGGGATGACGACGACCAAAAGGAAAACGACGACGGAACCGACCAACAATTATGTAACACATGGTATACTCATTGAAAACATATCGCGCTAGATCAAAACTCCCGCTCGAGACGTCCTCCTGGCTCATTGGAAAACCTGAATGGGCATCAATCTACGCGTTAGAGAGCCTTCTTCTTGGATTCGTATGCGCTTTCATGGGCGGCGTTCCTGATTTTTTTTTTGCACCTTCCGACGGGGCGTCTTGGGCGTTCGCTTGGGCGCCCAACAGTGTGCAAGCAATAACATGTTTAACAACAACAAAAACAACAAAATCTTGGCTGCGGCCGTCGCGCGCTTCCAAGTTCCCTTGCAAAAAAAAGGCGGCCGATTTTTTTGCCCTACTACTACTAATTTAAAAAAACTGTGCCAACCGTTTCTAGAAGCTACCACTACAGCGAAAACCTATGTAAAACCTAAGTCAAAGCTAAGTAAAAGCTAACTAATTGCTAAGTCAAAGCTAACCGAAAAGCTAAGCGCGCGCAATCGACATGTAATTCAATTACATATCGAACGCAACCTCGCATATAACCAGTTAAGTACAACCCACAAGTAAGCCGACTTGGACTTGCCAACTGTTTATAAGTGGTCGGCGACTTACAATCAATTGTTAAGTTTATGCCAACATATATCTAGTGAAATATCTCCGCATGCCAATATACACATTGGGTTACAACTAAGTGCTAAATTTATAAGTACCCCCGCTCAGCGAAGTACCGTTCGGGGTGGCAATTCCTGTTCCGAGGAAATAATGCACGGGCAAGTTACGCACGCGAAAATTTCGCCGAATCTATTCAAATATGAAAATCCAAAGAGGATATGCAAAACTCTTTTCGGAGGGCTTCATTTCGGATTCCGAATTCCATTACCAAAATCATATGAAACATAATTACATCCAATACCCAACGTTCTTGTCGTTGCACGGGATGCGAGGCATTTCCGATAGGACACCGCAGCGCCAAAAATGGCAGTGGTTTCTTCTTCTTTTTTTTGAATTCTTCAATGGTGAACGCTTTGGTGCACCCCTGGTGGGGCGCGCGCGGAATTGCGTTTCAACGGGTTATGGCGCAAAAAAATAGCTGATCCGGGAGATGTGTTATTCATCGCACACCAAACCAAACATTTATTGACGTTTCTCATTTTTTTTAGTTTCTTTTTGATCTCGCCGTCCTGTTCCTTCACCGCGTTATCCTCCTCCATGCGTTCACGGCAAGGTGCGCATTTCAATTGGCATTTATTTGCTTGCATTTTTGGGTTATGAACAAAAAGAAAAAACGCATCCCAATTATTGCCGACACGGGGGCCAGCGCGATCAAAATGGCCAAACCACTTCCAACGCGATTTTCCCGCCCCTGGCCCAATCCCTCTCATTTCCGTTGTTTTTTTGCCCAGCCGTGCCGCTGAGCGCACCCCGTGCGCGTGTCGTCCGTTCGCCCGCGCGCCGTCTTTGATGTCTCTTGGCATTGCTGATGTTGCCAGGAGCCAGCAACAAAACAAAAAGACAGAGAGGGAGAGAGAAGAGAGAGAAAGAGAGAGAAAGAGAGAGAGAGAGAGAGAGAGAGAGAGAGAGAGAGAGAGAGAGAGAGAGAGAAAAAAGACAGAGAAAGAGAAAGAAAGAGAGAGATAGAAGAAAGAGAGAACAAAAAAAAAAAAATACACAACAACAGAACATATATATATAGAGAGAGAGAGAGAGAGAGAGAGAGAGAGAGAGGAGAGAGAGAGAGAGAGAGAGAGAAAAAGAGAAAGAGAAATAGAGAGAGAGAGAGAGAGAGAGAAAGAAAAACAAAAACAACAGACAGACAGACAGACAGACAGAGAAAGAGAGAGAAGATAGACAGAAAGAGAGAACAAAAAAAAGAAAAATACACAACGACAGAACATATATATCTATATAGAGAGAGAGAGAGAGAGAGAGAGAGAGAGAGAACAGAGAAAAATAAAATGAGAGAGAGAGAGAGAGAGAGAGAGAGAGAGAAAGAGAGAGAACGAGGGAAATAGAAACTCGATCCGTGGTTCAAATGTGGAAACTTGTAGAATTCATTCTGGAAGATCTGGTTTACAACCAATTATAGAAACCCGTGTCGGCAAATATGGAAACGCGGGTGTTGAATTGTGGAAACCCGTGGTGTCGAATATGCAAACTTGTGTCGGCAGGTATAGAAATCCGTGATAACAGTTATGGAAGCCCGCGCGATTAATTATGGAAACCCATGTTCACTTGAGGAAACCCGTGTCCATTTAAGGAATCCCATGTCTCCCGATTATTTATCCTCCTTTGCAATGACGATCAAATCCTTCGCGGGCTCTTGCATCCGCGCTTGCGTCCTTTTTTCTTCTGTTGCCGTATATGCCACTCCCACCTCGCGCGGGGGACCAGCGGGAATTGTAGAAATTGTAGAAATGCACTGTGCCGTTCATTCGGGCTATTGGAACGAACCAATCAATCGCCCAGGCCCGGAATGCCGTCGACACGGAAAAAGGGCGGAATAACGACGGACCCCCGAAAAAAACGATAGCACGACGGACGCCAAAACGATATTGAGCGTTGGCGCGCAAAAGGGAAGTCGCCATGCAACCCGAGTCCTTACTTCAACTGGCCCAAAGAACACGGGCGACTTACAATGAGTTTGTGGGCCGAGCCTCTCCCACCGACCCTCGGCCGCGCATCGCGGGCCCATGCTGCAGAATTTGACCCCGACCTGCTTGCTACGTTGCTCTGGCAAACGAAGCGAAGTCTCAGCGGAGGCTCGTGGGAGAACCGCGACAAGCATTACCGCGTCTGCCTGGAAGACGACTCGTCGTTCCGACTGCTGCGCGAAACGGTGGATACAGCCGAGATCACAATGGCCATCATAACGTCATGGTGATGTCGTCGCCCACAGTGATTCTCAAACCCAGCTCGCGAATCAGAAGGATATCCAATGGCGATGCATTCCGACGACTGGCGGCCAAAACGCTCGCGAGACAGCGAGGGTGCGCCGCTGCATCTCCCCAAAGAAGGGGGCGCTGGAATCCCGCCCCCCCTCCTCGATCCTTCACTGGGGCCCTCGCCCCCCCCCCCCCCCTTTCCGGGCCCATCGTCGGCCCCCCCCCCCCCGGCCCATTTCCTGCTCCTTTCATTGGGGCCACCCCGTCTCTCCCCCTTTCAAAAGGGAGGGGGGGGGATCCGAACCCCCCCCCCCCTCGCCCCTGTAGCCGCACCCCCCCCCCCCCCCCCCGACTCCGGAACCCGACCCCCGCCACCCCTACCCCTAGTCCTCACCCTAACCCAAACCCCTAACCCTAACCCCAACCACCAACCCCAGCCCCAAAGAGTATTCACTACTCATTACTCACTACCCACTACAGAATACTCGCTATTCGTTACTCACTTCTCACAACCTCCTACTGACTTCCCACGACTTACTACTCACTATTCACCACTTTCTACCCACCACCCACTACTCGCTACTCACTACTTCCTACTCACCACTCCCTCCTCCCTATTCACTAATCACTACTCACTCCTCACTACCCACTACTCAATACTCACTACTCACTAAGCACTACTCACTAGTCCCTACTCGCTACTCACTAATCACTGCTCATTACCCACTACCCACTATCCAGCACTCACTACTCACTACTCATTGCACAAAAATCGCTACTCACCACCCACTACTCGCTACTCCCTACACAATACTGGCTACACAGTACTCAATACTCACTCCTCGCTACTCCCATGCTCGCTATTCAATACTCACTACTCACTTAGTCGCTAGTCACTAGTCACAGGTCACTAGTCACTACCCACTACTCACTACTCATTCTCACTTCTTGCTCCCACTTACCACTATTCATTGCCCACTTCTTACTACTCACTGCTCGCTGCCCCCTACTCCCTGTTCCCTACTCACTACTCACTACGCGATACTCCCACTACCCACTACTCACTACTGACTACTCTCTACTCACTACTCAGTACTCACTACGCCCTACTCGCTCCTCACTACTCACTAATCGCTATTCCCTACTCGCTACTCACTACACACTACCCACTGCCACTACCCACTACTCTCTATTCATCACTACTCACGACTACTCACTACGCACTACGTACTACTCAGTACTCAGTACTCAATACTCACTACTCACTACTGTCTACTGACTACTCACTACCCACTACTCACTACTAACTACTCACTACTCATCACTCACTACGCACTACTCACTACTCACTACTCACAAATCACTACTCGCCACCCACTACTCACTACCCACTACTCACCCATTACTCCCTACTCCCTAATCGGTACTCGCTAATCACTACTCGCTACTCAGTACTCACTACTCGCTACTCACTACTCACTTATCCA